GCCTGTTTCATACAATGACTAGGTAGCTCACAATAATCCATAAAACATAGTTTTATTTAACTATGTATATGTAACTATTCCATTATTATTTATAATATTTTCTTTACAACAATGTTTTAAAATGAAATTATAAGAAAGAATTGCTTTATTTAATGGATCATGTCACATGTGTACATCTATATGATGTTTAATATTATGACTCAATTTGATTTAATTAAATTTTTAATTCATATGTAGAGAGAGAGAGAGAGAGAGAGGGAGCCATTTGAAGCACTTTACTGTGGCATTTTTTTTTCCGGAGATGGCAAATGAGTTCCTATTTTAAATGCTCTACCATTAGTTTAAGTTGTTAGTCTCTAAATGAACAGCCATCTGTCAGGCCTTGAGCATCTTGTTAGCGAGCTGGTCCAGATATGCTGCAAATCCTTTAAATTACTGTAAAACATTTCATTTTAAATAAATTGTTAAAGGGTAAAGATAGGCAGTAGTATTTGGCATAACATCAAACATTGCTGTTATTTTTGCAATACTTATGTTTTGTTAAGTGTAAATTAGATCCTGAAATCCTGTTAAATCTTGCTCGTGTGGATTGCATATGACATTGCAGCAATTTAAAATTAATCATTTTTCTTGATTGTGAGAAAAACTTATAGAAGACTCCTGCTAACTGGTAGAGCAGGCAAAGAAAGGTTGCTTAAGTGTTATCTAAAAAACTTCGTAACAGCTTCTCAAAGAGAACTGTATTATAAGGCTTAAAGTAGTAATGAAAAGTAATCATTTCTACCTCTTGCCACATTAAAGAATTAGTGGTGATAATGTTTTCGAAAAGAAAAAGTAAAGATCACTGCTTTAAAAGCAAGTAAGTGAAAAGGAGATTGAAAAAACAAAAGATTAAATATTGTGTCCTTTTTCTCATTGTACAAAAGTCGTTTCCAAGCTGCTTTTGAATGAGCAAGGAAGTGAAAGAAATGCCATATACAAAAGAATCAACCTACATACCTTGCAGTTTATTTTGTCCACTTTCATATGTACTTAATTTATGCTTCTTTCACTGTTTCCTGTATTGGCCTTTCTAGTGTTCCATTATTTCTTTCCTTTATAAAACAATTCCTCTCCATGGTTTTTCCCCAAAATATTGCTCGAAAAGAAATATATGTAAAAGAAGTGCCTATTCTTCAGGACCTGAAGTGACTGACTGAGTTCTAGATTAAAATGTATTCAATATTATGTTTTTCCCACTCTGGTATACAGGTAGTCCTCACCTATCAACTGCCTCAGACAGCAACCGTTGACAGTTAACGATGGTGATGAAAAAGTACCTTTGCATTTATGACCTTTGCAGGTCTATAAAGCAAAGGAAAGCTGAAGTGAATTCGTAAGCATAGTCGTGGTTTCATTTAGCAACCATTTTGCTTAATCACCAAGTTGCTGGTCCCAATTGTGGTTGCTAAACGAGGACTACCTGTACTATCTTTTAATTGGCTAAGTAGTTTTTCAGCTGATCATATTTATCAGGTAGTAAGGAATATTTTGGACGACAAAATGTGCATATCAAGATGAGGCTTTCATATATAGCGGGCTATACAATTTCTGTATGTGTCCTTGTGTGAAGGACTGTACTTGGTCTTGGAAAGGCTACATTCTCAAAATCAGTGAGGCCTGGAGAAAGCTAAACTTGATTTGATTTCACTTAATTTGATTAATGTTAAATATAATTAATAGTGATTATTTATCAGTCACATATTAAACATTTGTCCTCTGTGAGGTGAAAAATAAAAATATAACTTTTGAAAGTCTCTGGGGGCTGCATCAAAAGCTTTCAGAAGACATGAGGCTTTGGGTTATGTACTTTTGACATAAACAATAGATTATTTATGACAGGTGAACTGAAATAGGATATCTATTAGAAACACAGTATGTTTCAATTTAGGAGTTAGCCATTTATTTCTAATGTATTACAGAAATCTTGAAGCTTTATTTAAACAGTCAAATAGTGACACATACAGGCATAAGAAGAGCCATGTTGGATCACTCTATATGGTCCACCTTTTTCTCCCACAGAAATAAAGAACAATACCATTTTTCTACACATGAACTACCAACTTTATTCAGAAGCAAATTACTTTTAGTACTGGAAGTGATATGGTCACTACTAGTAGCCACTGATACCTTTATTCTCTATTAATTATTTAATATTTTGAAGACTTCCTCAAGTTAGTGACTGTCAACACATAATTGTGGTAACAAATTTAACCCCAATAGAAAACACAATTGTGGATTCCTTTATTTATTTGGAATCTCCCATCATTCAGCATCAGATGACCAGTTAATGTCATTAAACAAGTTTACAATGTTTTACTATAATTCATACCTACAGTCAGTACTGCGTTGTCAATATCTTTAATTATTTTACTGGTTGTCATATTGCAGTGTTCCATCCCTTTTATGGTCAAGAATACTGGGATGATTGCTGCCAATCAAGGACCTTCCTTGCTGCCCATCTGCAGATCCCTTTCCCATTTCACCTGGTTGCAACAACAAATCTGTGGCATTCACTCGTAAGGAACAAAATAACTTACTAGCTAAAACCATTTAAAAATCATATACTCATCAGAAATCAAATAAAAGTACTACTATAAATCTGTCCCACAGACTCATCAGAAAATAAAACAACTTACTCTCTGTTTGCTTCTCTCTTCCTTTCCCAATTTACCTACAATAAACACAACACAAATCCTTGGGAAGTGTAGGTAATCAAACTAAATGAGCTCTAAAATGGAAGGAGCAGAAGTACAACCAAACTAAATTCCCTGAGAATGAACTCCTTTGGACATGGCCAGGAATGGAAAAATGGGTGGGAGACAACTGTTGGGCTACCTATTATTGACATTATTTGGGCAACCAGCAATTTTTGGGTAAATGGAGCAGACTGGTTCCATGTTAAAACAGCCTTATTTTCTCTGTCATGCTCCATTTTACTCATCTTTTTTCTAAGTTAAAAAGCCACAGATATAGTCATATTTCTTCACAGGGAGTTCAATTCCTATGACCATTTTGGTTATTCCTTTCTGCAGTTTTGCCAGCTTCTTGTAAATGATGATCTCCTAATTAGTTCGTGGAGAGCCTTTTAGATAGATATCTGCAGTGGTTTCTATATACTCCTCTACTAATAAGTAGGGTTGATTTTTGATGCTATTTAATTTTTTCTTTTTAGTACTGTCAGTGTGTGATACACTTTTCCTGAGATGGGAATGACAGTGTCCTTGTCATGTAACCTTAATATCAAAGTGAGGCAGAAAGTATTAAGGTTTGGCTTCCACAAATTGGCTTCCAAGGGTAAGTCTTGTCTCACCTAGATTTCTTTGTGTCAATAGACAGGTAGATGAGTACTTTGATAGTTATCGTATTCCTGAATTTTCAAAGAAAACTTTGACAGAATTCTTCACAAAAGTCTCTCAAACAAACTTAGCAGCTATCAAATAAAGGAACAGTGAGGTTATGGATTGGTAACTGGTTAAAGAATGAAATATAGAAAATAAAGAGTAGGAATAACTGGAGAGTTTGCAAATTAGAATAAGGGTCCTTAAGTTCAATGCTGGAACAGTCTGAAGTTCAGGATGAGCAGTATGGTGACCAACTTTGCTGATAATGCCAAACTGTTCAGATCAATAAAAGAATTTGTGAAGAGCTCCAAAAATACTTCTTTAACTGAGTGAATGGGTCCCAAAATGACAAAGGTAGCTCCATGTAAGAAAGTGCAATACTGTGCACATTGGCACCAAATCAATCAATAAATCCAAAATTTACATATATATTTTGGGGAACTGAACTGGCAGTAACTGATGGGTAAAGGGACAGCAGCATCTGTAACAAACTATGATGATGCTAATATGACAGCATACGCAATGAGATCATCATGCAAATATTGCAAAATGTACCTGGGTCGTGACTTCTGATGCAAGTATGTAAATGTGTGAGAAATGCATTTGTGCATGTGTTATTATTTGCCTCCACTTGCCTTCCCCCATAGACACCCATACAAAAGAATCTTTCTTGGTGGATAGCTCCATGAAAATGTCCACATAAGAAGCAGCTTCTGTTTTTAAAAAAGGCAAATACCATGCTAGGAATAATTAGGAAAAGTATTAGAGATAAAAAAGACAGTATAGTAACAGCTTTATATAAATCAATACAAAAATCACACTTAGAGTAGATGTATGGTGTAGAGGAAACATTTCGGAAGACTTTTTGTATCGAGGAGACAGGACTGGTGTGTCACAATTATCTTTCATACTCCTGGGTCTTT